CTCATAATTGCCATTATTCTGTTCGGGCGTATTTTTATGTACAATAATATCATCTAGTTACACCAGGGACTCGTGAATGTACCAGATCGTGTGGAACTCTCTGTATCAATCGTTGGAAAGTTGCTGAAGTATGAGCTAATCCGAATGGCATCACTTGAAGTTTGTAGGGCCTATTTGGTATGACAAACAGAGAAAGATATAAAGTCGATAATTATTGAGCGAGTTTCATAGAGTTTAACGTATCATCAACTCGCGGAAGTGAAAAGAAGTCACATTTCCTAATAGCATCGTGTCGACGGAAATCTTCACATAATTCAAGGGAGGAATCTTCTTCCTTTGTTTGAACGATGGACGAAGCCGAAAGTAATGACGATGGTACTATAATCTATTTTTATACTATCTCTTATCAATGAGTTTAGCTGTTGCTGGCAATGCACTGGCAGTCTGTGAAGTGGTTATGTTCACTTGACTCACATGAAATTGATCACCACCCAGTAATCAATCAATTGTGATTACATCTCAGTCCTACAGGAGGTCGGTCACGGCCCGGATAGCTCAGTGTTAACGTCTCTGACTGTGAAGCTGGGTGACACGGGGTCGAATACATCAGGGAGCACCAGTTTCCTCAAGATTACAGGCACACCCTGCATATGAGTGCCAAGTAGCACGAAAACCGGGTCCAGGGTTTCCTGTTGACTACCTCCAACCACCATCTTATTTCAACATAGTGCGCGCAATGTTAAGTCACCTAGACTGGTGGCCACATCGCTACTTGGTCGACAGCATTCAATCTACACTAAGAAGGACTTAACACACATGTCATTTATGACCACCCAATGATCAATCAGTCGTGAATATCGATAAGTCTAGGGAATTACCGGTCTACTTCACATGGAAAATTCATCTAATACATCTGCAAAGCAAGAAAATAATGTCTTTGTTTTGGTCTGTATTTCACAACCTTGACCGTAGATACTTTTTCTCGAAGGTCAAACTCATGTGAGTCTTGGGTAAGAACAATATTACAAGTGAAATAAGTGAGGTGTTTGAAGAGTTTGGAGTAGAGAATCAGATTGCACTTAAGCCATCTTTTCCAATGGGGTTCTAGTCCTAAGATATGGCATTTGGAACTGTAGTCAATGACTGAGTCGGTCTTAAGTTTATTGCGGGTAAAACCTCGTTGTATTCCTTCCACCTTGAATACATCTGATGGATATACGTTGGAAAATAACAGAGAACAGTATTCAACGATAGGTCTCACGCAGACTTTATAAAAAGTGATTTTAGGTCCACCTTGAAGGAAATGACTTAAAATGAAGCCATGCAGTTTACACATTTTAGATTCTTTGTTTGAGATATATTCAGATAATATTATTTGATTAGTGTACCATTAGGTCAGTTACTGATGTGAGTTTCGGCAGTGTGCTCTTGTTAAGTGCTAGTTTTATTTTAAGAGACATGTCTCCATTACATAGCCTGTCGCATTTCTCTGTGCTGATCTCCAACTTCCAACGCTCGCATCATTTGTATACCATGATAAGTTCATGCTGGATTGTTTGCATTGTACCACGCATATTGAAAATATCAGTTTTATAGATGACATTTAAATCATCAGCGTAAAGGTAGGTCTTACCTTTGCTAAAGCACTTGCATATATGGTTGATGTAGATTGTAAAAAGCAATAGACTCAAGACACTACCCTGCATAACACCATTGGATATTAGTAAAGATGTAGATGTTGTAGAGTTCATTTTGGTTATTTGGTGTCCGTTCGTGACAAAGATTTAATCCATTACAATAGGGGTTTTGTAATTCTAGCCGACTGAAGTCCGTTGGTTAGGAGGTTAGGAGGTACTTTATCAAAGGTTTCCTTAATGTCGAAATCTATTACACATCAAAATGTAAATTTGTAGTTAATAATTGAGGTAAAATCCACAATGTCCTAGATAGGGGTTTGTTTCATCCTTTGAACAAAATCAGGCCTAAAATTCTCTTACATATGACCTACCGCCTCAGAAGATGTTGATAAGCTAAGATGCCTGGTCGTTCTTGAGTAAGTGAAAGTAGAAGCAGCTCTACCTCAAATTATTTTTGAATTCATATAAGTTTCTGATATACAACTATAGTCAATTTTAACCATTGTAAGTGTTGTCATTTCTGATGGAACTGACGTAATGGAATGTAAATGTATAGTTGAGAATAGACGATAAAAGACTTTTCTCGCCGCACTCTAAACACACAGCAAATTTCTATAACACCGCTGTAGTTGATACTTTGATAAGCCACATGCTCTTCATCTGTAAAACGATGTTTCTGCTTGAACAGATACACGCGATTTTCATGGGAATGATCTGTGATTTACAGCATTGGTTGGCATATACGATGTTTCTCAAGTAGGGTTGTTAAATAGATGAAATCAACAAAAATAAAGATCGTTGCAATTAGGCAGATATTACAGAGAGTTAAAAACCATGTTTATGTTTTAGTATTGCACTATTGGTGCAGGTTTTTTGTCTGTTTCATAAAAGACATCGCGTCCATGTTGTAGCCATGGGAAACGCATAGCAACTCCAAACTCAGCATTGTTGTGTTACAATTCTCATCCTGCTAAGTGTCTATGCAGTACAAGTTTTCTAGAAGTTCATAGTTCTTATATAGTAAGTACAAGTGGCGCTTTGTATGAGCCGTGACCTTGGAGAACACGTACCTCATGTTTGTTTCAGGCGCAAGAAGCTCCATTCTTATGTACTGCGAGCGTGATGCTGAGGAAAGAGAAACGGAGGAGCAGTAAGGAATTCGAATATAAACCGTAAACAATGTTTAATAGTTGAACAGATAGATGTATGATAAATTAGTAAATAAAACTCATACCAGCTGCTGTTGCCTAAGTGAAATAAGGTTAAAGATATAGTAATGAAAAACAACGGATTGTGACGTATAACATGGTGAAGTGGGTTCAAATGTTGAAAGGGAACTCGAAGTTAAATTAAAGTAGGTAGTTTATTAGAATAAGAAGTAAATCAAAAGGCAGTCATGTGTTAATAAACGCTAATAGCTGTGTCTTTCATTGTCTATAAGTATTATTTTTGAGCTAATTATGCGACATAAATTATGGACCATAGGCGAGGCATCGATGCAATGATTTAAATAACTATATTAAAAACTATCAGTTTCCAAACAAAATATAAGCATTAAGTAGGATATAATGAAGAATAAATGTGTACCGACGTAGGCGGGAAAGTGCAGTAATATTATAGTTATGAATACGTTAATGGATGATGGAATAAAATTAATAACGGGTGGACACAGCTTACGTGAAAGTAGAAAGCTGATGAGAAATAGACAAGATCTCATATTAGTTTGGTGCTGGTGAGACGTTTGATAGGTTACCTACTCCAAAGATGAAAGATCAGTGATAGTAGACAGGAGATTGTGAAATTCTCTTGACAACTCTTTAGGATGGTAGCGAGTGTCTCTTCATACCGACTATAGTTCAGCGGTATCGGTAGGTCCACTGGGTTATCTGTTTACTTCAAACAAAATGTAGGGAGGGACATACATCTACGTAGACATATCTAATACAACTGTAAAGAAAGGGAAACTAATATTAGAGTTCAATATGGTTTAGATTCGTGGAGGGCCTGTGATGTCAGAGTGGGGCGCAGATGTGTTCAAGCGTGCCGTACCAGTACAAGCCAGGGCTTCATCAAGAAATTTTACTAACGTATGTAATTCATCTTGGCAATGTCGAAACATTATGGCTCAAATACTCATTCACTTCCCATTTTTGTGTAGACTTTATAGTTACTATTATTGTATATCGAATGTTGAAAAAATTTGAGTTTGTAAAAATCTCTTGCTTCAACTGTTTTGTTCTACTATTTAAACAAAAATCTATTTACTTTTAATCTGGCTTCTTCCATCGATAGAACGAAAGGTGCACACCGGTATTAAAACTCTTTAGATAATTTTGAATTTCATATAAGCAAAGAGATGGAAATCAGACTGCTGAACAATCGAGAAAACTACGTTATCGACATAGAGGCCGAAAATCAACATGTGATGGGTATAGTGAATAGCCAAAACGCTTACTGTGCTGTTAAATATTTTATGCTGTATTTAAAACTGTAATAATAATAGCAATACAATCTCATACAGCGTACTTCGAATTTGTGTTCTTGATTGGGCCTCGTCAAAGTTTTAGACTTATTGGGATAAGTTCCATCTGTTTATATCACCTGAAATTCTCACTCCTGTTTAAAATGTGACTCAGGTTTCTTGGAAAATGAACAGAAGACAGCTGTCAATCAATCCTAGAATTTCAAGATCTATAATACACAGCGAGGTTTCGCAAAGTAATGTCTCTTCACTTTGTCCTATCTCAGATGAAGATGGTGTATAGAATACCTAAACAAGATTTTCCATCCAGTATGTTCTTTCTTTTCCTCTCTGTAAAGTCAAGAAAATCACAGAGGCAAGAACGAACAAATCACTCATGGTATACAAGATTTGATGCCGTCGTCAACGCTTGGAACCTAATGACCAAAGACATGGTATTCGTACCTTTAATTGACTCATTCAGGAGAAGACTAAACACTCACAGTAACCTAGTGGGCGCTAATACAGGTTAGCGTCCCTCCGTCTTTAACACACCAACATCAATCTGGATCTCACGAGGTGTCACTTCTTTGTAACTCCTAATAGTATTTACCACTTTCCTCCTTCAACTTTGGAATGAATATGATAAAAATAATATCTTACTGTATCAAAGAAATCTCTATTAGTACTTGGGTGTAGAATCATGGGACAAATAGATCGCTTTTTTACTCAGTAAAATTTGTATCCTATAGTGTTACTTCCTCTAACAAGTAGCATCAGATACGCTGTTTGAGATTTTCGGGAGGCAACTGAATCCTAAGAGAAAATCATATTATTGGTCAACCAACTTTTAATGCTCGTCGCCAAAGTTATGGGATTGTACCATGAATGTTTTGCTAATTGGTACTTGATTTGTTTTCAAGGTTGGCTAACATGAAAGCAGTAAGTAGGTGTGACAAATGAATTGGGCTGTGGGCGCTAATTGTTACCTACTTCGGGCTGTTCTCACACATGGAAAAAACTGGGACCTTGTCAGTGAGTCACTAAGAACATCCTGCAAGACGTTCTTGAAAGATGAAAATGTGCAGGATCTCTCAAAACAGGTAATTAATACATTTGAAACCACTGGTTATAATCAGAGTTGTTCACTTCAATATAAATATATTATTGCATCCGCACGTCAAAGGTATTACTTTCTTGTGCTTGGTTGAAAGCTCTCTAGGAATCCAGGCGATTTAACAGAGAGCCAGCTCTTAAACATTTCACTAGATCATTACACTACATTGAGACGTGAGCAGTTGCATGCTGCTCGGTTGGAGATCTTGCGAGCTATGAAGTAAGACCCGAATGCTGGTTAATTGTCAACTCTTAGGATTGAGGAAGAGGATGCAGAAAAGTTGCGACAAGGTCGGTATTCTGAAATACCTCCAGATCGATTACTGACGTGAGCTCTCTTTACTAATATTTATTTCGCTTCAGCTATAGAAAAAGATGTCGTGCACTCGGAATTCCGGACAAAATAGGTCGTTGCTTAAATATGGAACCGTTGTCACCGATTTCAGAGGAAAATGATCGAACTGTCAAGAAGTTTCCCATTACACTGCAGCGTTCAAATACTAAAATTGAGAAAGAAACAGTTGACCAGAACGGTGGTATCTGGATTCCTGTCGGGACCCCTCTTATTTATGAGTTGTTTAAAGAGAGATGTGATAACATTCAGGAGTCATCGTTAGCCAACTTCATTCGTGCTCAAGGTAACTTTTATTAAGACTACTCGTTAAGAATGCATTTTTCCGTAGAAACATGGGGTTTATGTACAAGTTTTATTAGAAATTACTGGAACAATATCTCCCGCTGCCTACTTTTGAGTTTGATTTCTTATGTGTCGGAGTCTTTGTCGCCTTTTTAAAGCACTACCCATCTTTGTGATTCCCTCTCAAAGTCTTTTACAAACATATTTGAGCTAAAGCACTAATTTATGAAGTGGTATGAATATCTGGCCTCCAATTCTTAACCGAAAAAGACATGCATCATAGTAACTTATTTCCTGTAAAGTCCAGTTTCTTAAGTTCCTTAATCGAATGAAGAGATAAAATTACGCTGTCTATCCATATATGACATCTAAACCTAATGATAAGCTTGAAAGTGATCATTCTTAAGATATGTAGAAGAGTGCGAAACCAACCAAGCGTATTACTTCCCATCATAAAACAAGAAGACCCAGGTCCCTTATTCTCTCTTGTAAAATACTACAAAATGCATGAAGACTTGACAACTGTGTTAGTCTAAGGAACGACCGTGAGCAGCAGTGGGCAACGAAAGCAAAAGAGAGAAATGGTAGCGGCTTTAGGTAACACCAGACAGTTTTTCAGACTAATAAAAGGAACCCGAATTAAGAAGTCAAGTGTAAGTGAGACGATTTGGAAAAAAGATGACGCTCTTATCTACTGTCAGCCCAGACGTTTAGAACGATAGACGGAACACTTTAAGGGGCATTTCGGATGGCCTTCAGCTACTCTATAACTACCCACCATTTCCAAACAGCCTAAATGGAACATTGAAGTCCGAAAGGCCATGGCTATTCTGGAACGAGAAAGAGCAGCTGCTCCAGAAGGATTAACTACACAGGTCTTTAAGAATGGCGGTCCAATTTTAGCGATTAGATTGACTAGTATTTTAGCTAAAACCTGAAAGTTGGACGTAATCCCGTCTGACTGGTCTCAACCACTGATTGTTTCAATACATAAGAAGGGGTCAAAATCATCCTGTGATAACCATGGAGGGATTAGTTTAACTAACAAGGCATCTGAAATACTAGCCTCATTAATTATTTGCTGCTTAACAAAGACTCGTGAACTACAAACACGAAAAAATACTAGACTGGGTTGAAACCTGGTCGTGGCTGTGTCGACCAGATATTAACCATTCGTTAGGTTCTAGAACACAGGCATGCTTATCGGCGTCCGACAATGGTGGTCTTTCTTGACTTAAAAGCAGCATTTGGCTCTGTAGACCGGGAGGTGCTGTGGCAGTGTCTGTCATTAAAAGGCGTATCTAAGAAGTGCTTATACCTAGTGAGGGCTATTTACTCGAACACTACCTGTCGATTCAGAGCTTATGGAGAACTGTCATTTAATTTCGCAACCTCATGTGGTGTCCGGAAAAACTTTACTGTCACTATTTTTGTTTAATTTCATCATCGACTTAGTGATGGAAGCAACGTTTCCGTCGACCGAATTATTGGGGATTGATCTCCTTCCAGGAGATGCACTTATCGACTTATAATACGCAGATGACATAGTCTTGTTTGGTGAGGACGCTGATAAAATTCAGTATTTTGGTAGCACTGAGCAACAATACCAGGATGTTTGGGATACGTTTCTCCCCCTTTAAATGCAAGTTGTTGTTCTAGAACTGCCCCGCGTCAACACCTGGAATAAGGATCGGGAGTGAAGTAGTCGAACGTGTCGACAACACTTATCTTAGAAGTCTGATCAGCCCTAACGGGTTGATGTCTAATGAAATTTCAACACGGACTCGAAACGCCCGTCTGGCTTTTGTTAACTTACCTCACTTATGGCGAAGGCGAGATATCCATCTATCAATAAAGGGGCGAGTATACTTCGCACCAGTTCGTCCTGTTCTACTTTATGGCTGCGAAACGGCCATTAATAGTAGAAGATACTCGTAGGTTACTAGTATTCGACCACAAATGCTATAAAACTATTGCTCGCACCTGCTGGGATCACTGAGTAAGTAATACTGAGGTTGGACACACGGTATTAGGAAATGATAGTAAGTCATAGCCTTTAAAGCGTTTTCCTGACCGTTGTTGCTACCTTGATGTGGTGGTCGGGCTTGCCTATCGTGATGAAGCAACTGAGCTATACTGGCTGGAACAACCGTTCCTCAAGGTCCTACCATGCCAGACAGGTCGGTTGAAGAGCGGTAAGACTAAAAGCAACAAACCCAAGGTCCGAAGGCGAAGTCGTACTGCTGACTGTACAGAGGTGTGACAGCAGTAAGGTGTTTCCTTCAGACAACCAGCATGACAGCGATGCTGCCTTCCCAAAAGGAGGGGAGGGGTTAAAAAAGGTCGACCCTAAAAATGCACACCTCGCCTTATCCCACGGATATCCGTCTCCGGCGGTAAGGTCTCAACAAGTACGGAGCTAACACAAAAATTACTCATAAAAAGGTCGTGTGTGACCGACCTCAAGCAGCTGTCCCTTGGGCACTGCGGTCACGCTCTCAGGTCACTAAGACCACCTCTAATCCAATTTCCTTTTCAGGCACCTCCAGCAGAACCCTTCCACGGTGTGGGCAACCGGGAAGTGATAACCGCCCTCATACCTCTAACAGCACTCAAGACCACTGTATTCATAATCAACCTACCTCTTCAATTCCTATTATTCCTCTTACATCGACTTTCAAATCTAAACTCCCTCCTTTAGCTTCCTCCTCAAGTGTCACCACAGCCAACGATTCTAGTGCGCTAAACACTGTCCCAGGTCTACTGAAACCCCGCTCCAAACTACACATTGGAGCCTTCAACGTACGCACACTATGCCAAATCGGTCAGCAGGCTTCCTTGGCTAAAACCTTAGAATCTCGTACGATTGATGTATGCTGTGTCTCTGAAACACGCATACAGGATCCTAGTGTGGTCATTCACTTGACCTCACCTCGGCAAAACGGAGTGCCGACTTGCAGGTGTAGGCATAGCACTAAGCATGAGGGCGGAACAAGCGCTGTTAGAGTGGATCCCCGTTAATAGTCGTCTATGCGCTGTTCGGCTAAACGGCTCGGTAAGAACTCGAAAGGATAGGGACACACGTCGTTGCCTTTTCGTCGTTTCTGCCTACGCTCCCACTGACTGCAGTTCGGATGAAGTGAAAGATGAATTTTACAGAAAACTCTCTGAACTTCTTCAGAAAGCTAAACGTTCAGACATAGTACTCGTAGCAGGCGATTTTAATGCCCAGGTAGGTAGGTTAAACGAAACAGAAAGACATTTAGGTGGGTATTTTAGTATTCCTGCACAGAGAACAGATAATGGTGATCGTCTGCTGCAACTGTGCTCAGACAATCGTTTATTTTTAGCAAACACAAATTTTAAGCATAAGGAGAGACATCGTCTAACATGGCGACCCCCTGCACCAAACCAACGATAGACTGAAATAGACCATATTGCCATCAGTCATCGTTGGAGAGTGTCGATAGAAGATTGTCGCTCATTCTGGAGTACCTGTTTGGACTACGACCATGCCCTAATACGAGCACGCATCTGCTTGCGCCTCACTGGACGCAAAAAAGCCACTTTAAAAAGACCTATTAGAACTGAATTGAGTAAGGAGAAAACCAAAAGTGGGTTCCAGGAACAACTGAGGTCACACTTAGGTAGTTCCGAAAACGAGGCTGACCCAGATGTTGCTTTGAAAAATATACGAACAGCTGTGAAAACAGCAGTGACATCTACTAGTGATTTAAACCACAGGGTTACAAAGAACCAATGGATTTCGCCAAGGTCTATTGCACTGATAGATTCTCGTAAACTCATCCCATCAGGTTCTGAACACGATGAAGAGCGTAAAGAAATCAGATCTAGGTTAAGCAAAAGTCTAAGGAACGATCGTGAGCAGTGGTGGGCAACGAAAGCAAAAGAGATGGAAAAGGCGGCGGCTATAGGGAACACAAGACAACTCTACAGACTAATAAAAGAAACTGGAATTAATAAGTCAAGTGTAAGTCAGACTATTTCGGAAAAAGACGACACTCTCATCTGCTCCCAGTCCAGACGTTTAGAACGATGGGCGGAACACTTTAAGGAGCAGTTCAGTTGGCCTTCAGCTACTCTACAACTACCCTCTATTCCCAGACAGTATGAATGGAACATTGAAGTAGGTCCCCCAACTCTAGCTGAAGTTCAAAAGGCTATAGCTAATCTGAAACGAGGAAGGGCAGCTGGTCCAGACGGATTGGCCCCAGATGTCTTTAAGGATGGTGGTCTAGTTTTAGCGATATCCGTCTATCAATTAAGGGACGAGTATACTGCGCGGCAGGTCGTTCCGTTCTACTATACGGCTGTGAAACCTGGCCTTTAAGAGTAGAAGATATTCGTAAGTTACTAGTATTTGACCACAGATGCCTTAGAAATATTGCTCGCATCTGCTGGGATCACCGGGTAAGTAATAGTGAGGTTAGACGCAGGGTATTAGGAAATGATGGTAAATCAGTTGGTGAGGTTATGAACCTTCATCGACTGAGATGTTTGGGCCACGTGCTGCGTATGCCTGAACACCGATTACCGCGACGCGCAATGGTAACCGGTGTTAGGGATGACTGGAAGAAAGTTAGGGGCGGCCAAACCAAAACGTGGCATCAGTGCTTGAAGTCACTAACTTCTGGTCTGAGCCATGTTGATAGATGCAGACTACCTGGTTGGGGTCCGCGTGACTATCGTAACCAATGGTTGGAGACTCTTGGTGACGTGGCTCAGAGTCGATCACAATGGCGTCTGTGTACGCACTCTCTGTCTTCCTTCAAACTAAGAGATTAAAATCGCTTCATATCTTTCTTTCTAGGAACTAATTCTTTCTTCCTGTACTATCTCCTTATATGCAATCTTTTATATATTACCACCACTGAATTAACTACTTCTATGAATCCGGTGTTCATCTTGTTGTGCTAATGCGGTATGGCAACTTGGACGGATGCATATACGTGCCTGGTCCTACGTTGCAGCTGACTGACTGACTGACTTATAGCGTTTTGAAACTGACCACATCATAATATGCTATCGTTTTGAGTTGTCGTTTATAATTTTCGGCAAGTATTTTTAATGCAGTGCTTTATGTGTAGTATCCTATATTTGAGATGATAATAACTCAATAGTCGGCACTATTGCATCTCTTTTGAGAACACGAGTGAATCACCTAAATCAACTCACTTGATACACCTACATTATGTGCTCACCAGATGTTTTCATCAGAATATTTGTAGGTGTTCTCTGTCAGATGAATACTTGTTGAGATGATATAAAACACCAAGAGGTACTGAAAATCTCTTTTCTAATATCGAATCTGTGTGGAAGATACACCCACAATTACACCAAGGATCGAATCCAGGACTTGTGGGATCAATAATTGACCTTTAGAATAACTTAATAAGCGGAAGTTAATACGTGAAGTATTGAAAAGAGATGTTGAGTAATGTCTCTCTACTAAAACTTTAAAACTACTTATTATGCTCTCTAGCTTTTGGGGTAAGTATGATTTATGTATGTCTTTCACTTCTACCCATTTATCTTACAAATCACTCTCACTATGTTTTTATTTTATCTCATTTTACTGATAGCTATTATTTCACAAAGACTGGGTTTCCAAGGACATGATGATGAAATCTCAAGTCTAGATACTACATCATCCATTCAGACTCACTCAGAGGTATACACATACAAACGTTCCTGTTTTGATTTTGTGGTTTATTCTGATTTGATAGCATATTCTGCATAAATACCGAAGAGCCACCAAAATCACTGCTTACTGCAAAGTTACTCATTGTTTTTGTGTATCTATTTTTAGTGATATTTTACATCAAAATGTTTAATTTAATCGACATGCGATTTATAACTAGATATAGGCTCAATGTACTGAAGAATTTAGATCACTTCTTTACCTTTTAGAAGTGTGTATTGCATTAGCTTATCACTCATTCCAAAATCATTTTGTAACAGGTTTATTATCAGCTTCAACTTACTGATACTTGCTGTTACTGATTAGAATCACTAGTGTAACGTTTGTTTGATGTACATATTTTTGCAAAGTTGCGAATACTATGGAATACATTTATAAATAAACACACCGATTATGTTCACATATAATTCAACTTGTTGAGAATTTAATTAGGAATAAACGCTATGGTTATATGTATTTCGATTTTTCGCGTGTTCACCTTTGAAGGTTACAACTAGCCATAACCAAGAAGTCAAAGTCGAAGATTCATCCAGAGCTTCTGAACAGCTTAATAACCTTGATAGTGTCTCAAACAAAATAAGAATACAAACAAGCCCTTCCAAGTGTTTGGAAATCCTGGATGAACCAATTACTCCTAGTAGTTCCGCTCTTGTAAGTGACTCAGAAACATTGGCTTCTCCACACTTTACTCAGAGTCTTAATTCAAGTCCTGCACTAAGTCTTGCGGAAACGCAATCACCATCCCTAAAAGCCGTTAGTCTGAACCGAAAGCATAATCATACAAAGAGGAAGATATCGAATCCTGCTCCTGTTTATCAAAATCAAGTGGGAGAGTTCACTTCAGGTATTATTTTATTTCATTGTTATAAATTTTATTCAATAAATGCATTCTTACCATTCTTTTGTGGAAGTGGTCACACTGATGCACTCACAATTTATCCCATTTTGTATCTTGTACTCAATATGAGAGATTTTTTATCTCAGGAGAGTTTTATTGACGTACGCTGACGTCTCTTTTATTGTTTACTAATAATGACTCATTTATTTTCATATTCAAATTTAATAGCTCTCAGTCCCTCAATATCTACCAATCTCAATAATGATGAACTTACAGATACATCTCAGTCATCAGTTTGTGTGGCTCGACGATGGAGAAGATCTCTTTTATCAGCACTTTCTACGGTGTACAGCCATCGTCACGCTTATGTGTTTATGCATCCTGTAACTGAAGATATAGCTCCCGGGTACAGTACTGTTGTTTATGAGCCAGTGGACTTAACGTCCCTTAGGCGCCGTATGGAGTCGTCACTCAGTTACTTGATCAGTTCTCAGCAGCCTTCCGCTCTAAATCCATCTATCTCTTCTTATCGAGTTATCATTGAGATCGCAAGACGTTTCATTCGTGATCTTTTGCTAATGTTTATGAATGCAAGAATGTACAATAGTCAAAATCACGAAGTCCACCGAATGGCTGGGGAGATGTATCATGATGTCATTAGTGAAGTAAGTGGTGGATCTTAATCATTTACTGTCAAGCGGTCATAGTGAGGATTTGTATAGTAAGTATTAAAAAACTAAAAACTAACCGTCCGATTGTGTAGTTGGAGTATGCGTGATATTTTCGATCAGTGGTTGTAACATGACTCAGAACCTATCTTAGCAGTTAAGCCGCAGTTATTCTTGTTAGGTCTTGAGTTACATTATTTCTTCTTGTATACCTCTTCATTCCTTCTCGAATCATATTCCCATTATTTAGTCGTTTTCATTGATACTGCGTTATTTTGACCCCTTCACTTTTTGTGATTTTGATTTCATCTCTGTCGTGGTATGGTATGGTCACTTGGGGTGACGCACATTTGTATCAGACTCTACGCCGACTGTAACTTAGGGAATAAACTCATCATGACGAAAATGGTTTCAGACATCTATCTAGTTCCACCTTAATCCATACCCATTCCTTAATTTGTTTCAGATTGATACTTCGGTATGTTGTATTTTATTTCGTAGCTATTGTGTATGGTTTTCATGTTTCCTTTTAGTTTGTTAGTATAAATCATATAGAAATTCGTTAGTTCCTTAATATATCATCATAGCTTTTCTAGTTAATTCTTTTATAGGGAGAGGATGTAACGATTGAGTAAGATAATGTTTGTATGTCCTCTTAGTTTGCTTTGGTACATCCGGTTGTTACTTATTTTTCCAGGGGAATATATATATGTTTAGCATCGACCAAAAAATTTTGCCTGACTATCAATTTAGTTCCTTTTTCACATTGAATTTATCACATGTGGCTAGAATTGTGAAGATATAAGTGGAACACTTACTGCCCACAATTTTCGTTCACTTCAGTACAACTCGCCTTTTGTTTGTGACACTGAAGACCATTACTGTGAATGGACCCTATGAGAAAAAACAGTTATTTATGATTTCTTAGACGTGTTTTCATTTAGTCATATTAGATTCTGGATCACATCAGGAATGAATACACGATTTTATCTCGTCATTTCAGACTATCGAATTCTGAAAGTACCACTGACCATCTTTTGTCGTTTCTGAGAGTTTAGTATTTTGTGGTAATCGCGAGTCCGAATATGTTATATCTTAATGTTCATGGCATGATGTATACATTAACTCTAACATCTAGGTTCATCTTGGAAATTTTGAATTCTAAAGCCTTTCTGGTGTATAAGTCTCACTAAATAAGTCAAATATGTCCGGTTTTAATTGTTTCTACTGGTTAGCTACATCAAAAAATGGTTCAGGGTGATATAACAAAGAAATAACAACGAGGCTATGCGGTTTAATCAAAACGTTTTTGGTATATAAGTGGTTATAATGTCATCCTCGAATTGTAGATAGTTTATGATTAGTGTTTGATGACATTTTTTTATTTTATTTTATCATAATGCTATTTTTGCGCGTAGTATTTTACCGCCTTCGGTAGTTCTAATAGATAGTAATTTTATTTGCGACCTTTAACATTCCCAACTCGATGTCACTTCAAGTAGCTTAAAGTAGTATTTGTTTATTATTTACATCAGTTCACTCTATTCCCCGTAAAATTATGTATTGAACAAGTTATCAGTTCTCCTTTGTTGAGTAACTTAGTAATGGCATATTGAAATCAGGATTTTTTAAAAGATTGTAATCAGAAATTTTTCCCTTCGAAATTACGGATAAATCGGAATACTGTACTTTTCACTTGACGAACACATATTGATATCTTTTTGTCATTAAAAATCAGTATAAAATGTTTTGCTATTAGATGTGTCTGCAAGACGAATTTCCGAAAATAGTTGTCATATTTCGTTTTTCGCGAAGTTATGATTTGTATAACTTGATTGAAACGATCTGAAAATACCTTCAATATGAGGACAGGTCTGTACGATTAGATAAAGTGGACGATTCTTACACAGCAACACTTTAACGATGGTACTTACATGGAAGAAAGAAAGGAGTTGAAACTTTCAAAAGAGCTTTTACTTCTCATTAAACGACAATTATATGGGTAGTTATCACGGTATTTATTGTACTATGCTATAGTTTTGTACCAGAATAATGAACATATGCTTAAGTTTCGTAACATAGTCACATTGCGAAATCCGTCATAATATCTAGGTGTGAAAGGTCACAATAATACTAGTTTAAGTTAATCCGAGCACCTGTTCCATATTTTTATATCACAATGGTTCTGCTCATTTGAGGTGTGTACTTTGTTTCATAGATCAGATAACCGTTGTATTGTGATTAAGTACGAAGTCATAAGTATTCTTTTTTTCATCAAAGAAGAGTTTTTGTTTTGTCATTGTCCTATTGATTTATTTTTGTGGTTTGTTATCCTCTTGTTCGTCATACTGCTGGTCATGACTCCATTTTTTGTAAACTTTTTGAGAGCGTTTTGTTAGTAATAATTAGTTATAATTAATAACCTGACTTTGCCAAAAGATTGATTTTCCATATAAATCTCTTGAAACTTTGCAGCTTCAACCTCTTTGGTCTATTATGGCTGAGGACATTCCAGGATTCCCGTCTTTGCCTTTCTTGAATTTAGCTCCTCCACAGACTACGCGTTCACTACAGCAACCTACTATAGTGTCGACTGCCCCAACTACTAGTCCCTCACATCCTGTTTCATGTGTGCTTAAAGATGAGGAATCGAATGTTGGCAAACAGTCTTCTCATTTTTTTATCAAGCAAAACAAACGTCCTGCTCCTGAAGTAAGTGTATGCAAATATATCTTACGTTTTCCAATCTCATTGTTTTGCAGTTGTAAAGCAATGGCTTTATGGTTACGTCGTTTGATTTCCAGCCACTAGGACCAAGGTCTGAACCCCGTTCTATCTACTTCGGTCTGGGGGATTGCGTAGTGTCATTAAACCTCACAATTAGAGCGTAGCTTTTACCCAAATTACTGCTAAATGAGTTAGTTTATTTAATATTGTTTGTTTGTTTATAAGAGTATCAGTTGAGAAAATGTGTGTTATGTTGTTCCGTGCATAGTGTTTCCAGTGCTCTTGACTTCTCATGAATCCAATAGGGTCAGAAACAAAATGTTTTAAAAGAGTCTTGGAAATGAGCAAAAGCACATGATCTTGTGTAAAAAGTACAGAAGGAACTTCTCGCATATTGTTTTGGAGATTAGGGGTGTCATTCAAGCTCTCTAATCGATGGTTACGATAAGCACACAAACCTCAACCAGGCAGTCTATACCTACTGACGTGGTTAATTCCAATTGTAGGTTATTTGATTGATTAATGCCATGTTTTGGTTTGGCTATCCTTTAACTTTCAGTCTACTACAAACAACATCGCTAGCGAAGGTAAGTGGTGGTTGGGCATACGAACACATGTCCCAACCACCTCAGTTGGTGAAGATGTACTGCCTCATCAATCGAATTCCCATCCTCACCTGGTATCATACACCTATCCCAGGGATTGCTTATTCCATGGTACCAAATTACACGAGCAATTCTTTGAAGAAACTTATAACCAAATACCAGTAACCTACGGACATCCTCTTTTCTAAATGGCCATGTTTCACATTCATAAAGTAGGACGGAGTGAACTGCTTCACAGTGAACTCGTTTTTTGGTTGGGAAACAGATATCTCCCCTACCCCAAAAGTGACGCAAGTCGGCAAAGCAGACTGAGCCTTCTGAATCCGTGCCGAGGTTTCATCGGACGCCAGACCATCAGGACTGCTAAGACTCCCATGATAAGTGAGACGGTCGATGCGTTCAACTACTTCACTTCCTATCATTAATTCAAGCGATGACACAAGCCAATCCTAAAGCAACATTTCACATTCGAAGAGAGAGAACTGCATCCTAAACATGCCTTCATTGTTGCTTAAGGTGGTCAGAGTACTCTGCATTTTGTTACCGCATTCACCAAACAGAACTATATCATCTCCGTATCCCAAGTCAACAAGTGAATCCCATGATAGATCAATCCCTTAAAAGTCAGATGATGTGTGTTATCTCCAAAAGCATGTCTATGATAAGGTTAAACAAAAAATGGGAAAGTAGACAATACCCTTCGGAGTAACCAACTCAGATAACAGTTCGCTATAAGCTGACTTGACCAATGGTGATCGGGTAGAGCCTGTACAAGGTAAATGTACTTCTTTGATACACCTTTCACTGGGAAACATTGGCACCGAGTCGAATGCCACCTTAAGATCAAGGAATAAAACTGTAGTCGGGCGTCGAAAAGTATGTCTTTGTTCCAGAATCTGACGAAGAGTGGATATTTAGTCTATACATCCACATTAAGGCGGTCTGAAACCAGCCTGATTTTCTCGATTTTGCCCTTCACGAGCTGTAGTTAGGCATCGAAGCGCTATTCGGGCTAATATTTTAGACACAGCATTAGTTAAACTGATTCTTCTGTAATTGTCACAAGAGGATTGTAGTGCTCATAGTAACGACAGGTTCAGCGACTAACACAAGACCACGAAGGCTAGACCCAAAAAGGTTGGATATCGCGAAATGAGAATTCGAAATATTCCTGAAACTTGGTATTATAAGGCCATCTAATAGTCTCTGGGCATCTCCGTTACATATGGTTTCCAAAAGGAATAGAGATATCAGGCCATGTGAAGATTATAGAGCCCTTAACAAGCAAACTATAGCAGATAGATATCCGGTACTTCACATCCACGACATTACTACCAATATGGAAGGTGCCACGATCTTTTCGAAAATTGATCTTGTTCGGGTATTTTATTTTTATTTTATTTATTTTAGCACATAGATATTGGTACAAGGAGGCACCAAATGCATATGCGCCACACAGATCCCATTTGATATGTGTGAGGGCTGTGATACTGCCTGGGTGCTCAAACCGAAGCAGGTGGTTCTCTTAGGGGGACACATCCCGAGCCTCCGACCTGAAGATCTGATCCACAAGGCAGTGGAGCATCGTAAGGCGATGCAGCCCCATGGTGGCCGGTGACCAACAATTGGTTCAAACGCCATTTGTTCCCTCAGGATACTGGAGCCCATGTGCACCATTGGTTTGGGATCCGATTAAAGCGCCGGACATTCGCTTTTTGTCCTCTCATTTTCGTAAACAACACACCCACCACGAGAAGGCAGTGAGTAGGACCTCCCTGGCAGAGGCTATATACGCGTGGCCATGTGAGAGCATTTTGAGAGAGAGAGCGGACTCTCCTCATTCTCGGTCGTACTAGGGCATTTGGGGGCTTGTTTGAATCTTTTTTAGTCCACGATCCTGCTCATGGAATTGGAACCCAGGGCCTACAGTCTCGCGCGCGAACGCTTAACCTACTGAACCACTGGGTTTATTACCACATTCCCGTGGCACCAGAAGGTATACCAAAAAACAGCTGTAATCACTCCATTTGGGCTATTTGAGTTTTTGCGAATGCCCTTTGGATTAACTAATGCAGCTCAAACCTTCCAGCGATTGATTGATCAGGTTGTTAGAGGTTTGACAGGAGTATACGCGTACATCGATGATTTACTAGTAGTTAACACTACTATGGACGAGCATATACAGCAGCTACGACGTTTGTTCACGTGACTACGAGAACATGACATTTCCATAAACGTTGAGAAGTGTGAGTTCGGAAAGGGAACCTTGCAGTTTCTAGGTCACACTATAACTTCTGAAGGTATTACGTCGACCTCAGCAGAAGTCAATGCCATCAGGGGTTATCCGTTACCCGACTGACGGAAGAGGTTACGACGATTTCTAGGACTGATAAATTACTACAGACGCTTTATTCTGAATTGTGTGGCAATACTGCAACCACTAACGGACGCGTCACGGGGACATGCCCGGACATTCCATGTATTAGCAGAGACGGTACAAGGGTTCGAGAACGTCAAGAAGGCGCTAAATAAAGAAACGCTATTATCTATCATGACCGATGCATCGAATGTGGCGGTAGGATCCGTCTTACAACTGTTAGTAAATGGCACGTGGGAACCGCTTTCATTTTTTTCGAAGAGATTGAGTCATACACAAACGAGATATAGTACTTTCGAAAGAGAATCACTAGCAATTTACTTGGCAATAAAACATTTTTGACATGTGGTAGAAGGTATAAATGTTACTGTTTACACGGACTACAAACCACTGACGAAAACACTAAGCGCAAAGCAAGATAATTATTCGCCGAGAAAAATCAGACAGTTGGTATTCATTTCCCAGTTCACGTCCTATATAGGATATATTAAAGGCCAAGAAAACGAAGTAGCTGACTCACTATCAAGAACAGCGATAAACGCGTTTATTACAAGTGGAATCGATTATCACGGTCTGGCAAAGTTGGAAGAGAGAGACATCGAATTAAGCAAGCTAAGATCCGATGACATGACATCATTAGTTTCCTAAGAGGTTCAGTTCGGTAGCACAAAAGTAATATGTGGTATATCGACAGGCCGACCGCGACCATTCATCCCGAAACCATTCTGACAGAAAATATTTGAAAGTATGCACAACATATCGCATCCGGGAATAAAAGCCACGGTGAAGCTAATTAGCGAACGCTTCGTATGGACGAACACGAATCGCGATGTGCGTAATTGGACACAAGCGTGCAGGAAGTGTTGAAAAGTCAAAGCACATCGTCATACTCTATCCGCAACGGGTTCATTTTCTCACCCAGTGTTATAATTCTTTCTTATGGTTATAACCCAGCAATTCCTATTGCTTAGTATTATCGGACACCAATTCACTCGACAAGTCCCCAACTCAGAACACGGTTGAACAGGAAAGAGATTATATTCCAAATAACAAGGTTAGATGGAAGTAAAAAGCACAATAGGAAAACCGTTAGTATATTTATAGCTTTTACATGAGAATATTTCTAGAGTATCGACTAGCGCTGATTGGACAAGAATTAGCCAATCAGCGTGCTCCAAAGCAATCGTGCATTGAGCATGCTTTAATCCAATCTATGTCCCGCTAACACCTCTCCTTTGAGCAGATTCGTAGGGTCTGTTGCTAGGGTCCAACTGCAACCGAGTGACTGGCCTGTGCTTTCGATTTGTCCATCGTCTAGGCAATCAAGAAGTATCACTCTTTGCTTGTACAGAAACTGACCTGTCTGTTCCAGGCGTTTCGATTTCAAAGGTGTCTAGCAGAACATCAAGAGGTAATCGATATGGAATCTCGTTGTTGGCTATCGAAGTTGCTTTCAATTGGTTAGCATGACGTACCCAAACTTCTGAGCCAACTGACACCTCATAAACCACGCTCCCTTTCTTTTTCAAGACCTGACCAGCTGTCCATGTAGCATGTTTCTCACGATAGTCCATAGCAAGTACTTTTTGTCCCACCGTGAACAATCGTCTTTGTGCCCCATGATGTCGATTGAACTGATTCTCCATCGATAGGTTTCGTTGAGGCTCAAGTGCTGGCGTAGGACGGATGACATCGAATTGTGTTCGTATTTTTCTGCCAAGTAGAGCTTCTGCTGGATTCGGTGTAGAGAGATAAATAAGCAGGAACCTATATAAGATCTCTTCGGTGGTCCCCTCCCCTTTAGATTTTTTAGAGCATTTTTAAATGTACTCACAAAACGTTCCACTTGACCATTTGATTGGGGATGGAATGGAGGTGTTCGGACGTGATGGATTCCGTTCTGCCGACAAAATTGTGAGATTACGGACGTAAACTGTGTTCCGTTGTCACTAACTATCAATTCCGGGACTCCTAAACGACTGAATAGTTGACATAGCTTACTG